AAATGGGAGGTGACAATGGGAGTTGCCTTCCCACATGCCTTATTGACTATGACTCTTATGCAGCAGTCTCAATTAGCCTCCCCTTTTTATTTCTTCTTTCTGTCTCTTATGGTTTTTATCTCTGCTTTAGATAGTGCATGAACTCCCCTAATTCATAAGAAAAAAATAACAAGATGATTTTACATTTTTATTTCTTAAAGTGTATGTTTAGATGGATATGGTGGTACAATCCTTTAAACCCAGCCATTCGGAGGCAGAGGCAGGTGGATCTCTTTTGATTTCAAGGCGGTCTCGTCTACATTCAAAGGTCCAAACCAACCAATGCTATATAGTGAGATAAAAAGTATGTGTTCAGGGTTGAAGACATTATTCAGTGGTCAACTACTTACTTTGATTGTCTGAGGTTCTGGGTCAAAGCCTCAGTTTAGTAAACCCCACTCAAAATGTGTAGGACAGAAGATGAGTCCCTTAATAATTTGGTTTCTGTTTTTCATTCTGTTTTTTGGTTTTGGGGTGGATTTTTTTTTGTTTTGTTTTGAGACAGTCTTTCTCTATATATATCTCTTGCTAGCCTGAAACTCACCATGTAGACCAGGTTAGTCTCACACTCATAGAAATCTGCCTGCTTCTGCCTGCCAAGTGCTGGTATTAAAGGTATGTGCCAGCATGCCCGGCCACCCTTAAGTGTTCTGGACAAGAGCTAACAAATGTTCGTTTGGAGGTGAAGAAAACTGTGTAGGGAGTTGCAGCGATGGCTCAGTTGTTAATAGCGTTGGTTACTTTTCCAGAGGACCTGGGTTCAATTCCCAGCACCCACATGGTGGTTCTCAACCATTTGTAATGCCAGTTCCATGGGATCCAATGCCCCATTCTGGCCTCTGAGGGCAACAGGCACATAAGTGGTACCCAGATACACACGCAGGCAAAACACGCTTAAACATTAAAACCAAAACAATATATATATATATATAACCAGAATCAAACAAACAAAAAACAGAAGGAAAACAACATGAAGTTGGTAGTAGAATTTAGTAGTCCTAGCCTCCTTACTTGCCATGAGTAGAACACTGAGTTTTTCATCTGTTGGGGTTTACAATGTATCTTCACAGAGGAGTTTTAATGGTATTAGTTCTTTGGATCATTTAGAGCATTAAACAGTAAAAACCTACAGGGTTGGGTCATCACTCCCATACTCAGAATGTAACAGCTTCCATCTTGTATGTTTCTACCGTTTCCCCGAGTTATCACAACAATTTCTGCTTTTCTGAGTTGAAATATTTTCCCGGTACAAAAAGCGTCTTGCTGACCCAACATATGGATATGAGTATGGCAGATATAATGACCAGTAGCCATTGCTGTATCATTCTGAGAACATAATCATAGCATTTATCTTTTATATATGATACAAATGCTCTGCATGTCTGGCTATGACCACAAAAGTATTCTCATTGTATCACAAACTGCTTTTAAAATCACACACACACACACACACACACACACACACACACACACACACACAGAGGCTCCTTGGGAGCTTATGAATTTTCAGTTGTAGTATTCAGAGTGTGAGATTACTGGGAAATAAGATCACTTCAATTATAATTCGCTAACATGAGGGGATACACTGAGTTATGGTTTTTAGACCTGTGATTCAATAAGATGTCCTTAAAAGAAACAATATGAGATACAGATGTGGAGTGAAGAACCAATAAATATGAAAGCAGTGACTGGAGCTGTGTTTCCAGGGGACACCTTGACCACTGAGCTACCGCTTGAGACCTTTAGCCTATAAAATTGAAATTAATAAAGTGTTACTGTTTTAAGCTCCCCACTCTGGGAAACTTTGTTATGGCAATCCAATGACAAACACAAGTGATTTCATGTACTGTCTGCTGTCTGTCCTGGGCATTTAATTCCCCTGTCACAACACTGGAAACTCTGAAATAGAGGTGTCCAGGAGCCAGCCCATACCAGTCTGCAAGAAATTTTTGTTAAATTTTCAAGGATTTTTGCCAACCCACTGCTAACCATACCTATTATTTAAAAATTGTTTTGTATAAACTTTGGGTTACATAAATGAAAACAAAGACAAATCCTCAATTTTTATTATCACTTTCTGATATTTGGTTTCTTTATGTTCGTAAATGTATTTATTTTCATAAGTAATTTACTATTATTTATTTACATAAATAGAGCAATTATTTATACATCTATCTGACCTATACACTGGCAGCACTATACTGAATTATATTATTACACATCTTTCCCCAATTCACTCAGTATCAGCTATTGATATGGTGGAGTTATTTACATCACTGTAGAAAGTGACAAGTCAGTTCTTTTCATATTTGCACGGAGCCTGTTGCAAACATTTAGCAACACAGAAACAAAATTTTCATCTGTAAATCACACCGGGATGGCTATAGAGGAAAGTACCAAGCTTTCTCTATTTCCTCAGTTTGGAAACGCTGAACAAAACATGAAAGAGAGAATCATGCATTAGTCATGAAGGCAAAGTGAGATTTGACAAGGATTGTGAAGAAGGGATAAGGGAGGCTTAGACGCTAGTGACCTACTTTTAGTATTATGTACTAAATCTCTTCAGGAAGTGGTTAGCTCTGATTATAAGTATTAATTAGATTCCAGAGAGTGCTATTTAAAGTCACTGTGCTCTTTAGACAGAAACATTTCGGATACACAAAAGGTAGGACATGCATAGAGAGGCAGGGAGCTAGACGAATGGTAGATAGATGACAATAGTTGTGGCAATAGTGAACTAAATGATGTTACTCTGCAAACAACTCGAAGCCATCAACAAAATCACAGGCAAGTTAAATGGCATTGTAAATGGGCCAGATGAAACCTTAGTGGCTTTAGTAGGATATAATTGTCCTGTATGTGGGTAAGGACAACATTGTTTAGCTTTGCTATGACTTCTTCCTTGTTCCACCTAGAAGCTGAGCAAAAATATTCACAGGCACAGCAGTTCTATGCATTGAAATCAAAATCCAAAGAACATGATACTTATTAAATAGTTACTTCCTAAAACTCTTAAGGGCAATTTGACCCCGTCGGCAGCTTCGTTTTCTTTTGCACTGTTGGAAGTGGGGTCTCAGGAAGAGACTACCCGAGTCCTTGAACTCTGTGCCAGCAGGAGCTGGGCCGACTTGGAGTCAGTGCCAGAGAAAAGATGGTAGGCTGTTCTTGTTTAACCACAAAGGCTGCAGCAGGGTAGGGAGTGGCGCTTGAGTCCTGCTGAGTCTGCCTAGGCTCTAAGTCCTGGGCTCTGACCAGGAAGTGTTCTTAGTGAGGAATGTGTGAAGCATGCCTCACCTCAGTCTGTTGTGACCAGGGCATTCTTTGAGAACGTATCATCTGAATCCAAAAATACTCCTACTTAATTAACCAACAGGGATTTTCTACAATAAATAAGAGGCCCCTCTTCTCTGTGAACACAGTCCAACATGAGAGAAAGTTGAGCCTCTATGTTTGATGTCCATTCTTAGTTTGCTCATGCATTTTAGTAAAGTAAAAAGGCTAATACAGCTTAGACCTAAAGGAGCCCCCAGACCTATCACCTACTAAAACAGAAAAAACTCTCCAAACTCAGTGTTTTTACAGGTCTGCTTTCCAGGACTTTGGGCTTGGGTAAGCACCCCGAGTTTTGGACAGTGCTGAGATGGATAAGTAGGAACAGGCAGGTAGCAGTTAAGGGAGAGGGTCAGAGTGTCTGCCTGCTTCTTCTCCTTGGTTTCCCCTTCAACTGTTGCTGGTGTAGCTCGCAGCTCACAGCCCATCTAGATTCCCCTGCTTCTGCTTATGACTAATATCCCACACCATGGCAAGAGCTGCTGGCCAACTCTCTCACACATTTTCTTTAAAACGAACAGGAAATGTGCATAAGACCAAAAGTTTAAAAGGAATCCAATTTTCAGATATTTAAAGGGAGAAATATCATCGTATCAGACCATAGAGAAGAAAAAATCTACCATATTCTACTATAGGCCTACTAAGTAAGGATTTTAACTCCAAGTTTTTCCCCAAATTAGGAAATTTGGGCTTTCAAAACACTTCTATTTTAACAAAAATACCGTAAGGCATCATATGGAACCTTTCAAAGTTTAACATAACTAGCCTTTTTTTAAAACTTAAATTTGTTTTACATTTCACCAGAGCAAAGTGTTAACTAAGCACAACACACTTTGTGTTATAAGGTTTTCCTGCAGACATACTTAAAAAGTAAGAATGACGCATATCTTTTTAAAGTTATTTTGAAAGTCAACTACTATCTGAGTTATGTACAGGTACTCCACTGATGATAATTTAACAACGACGTTTTGAACCAAGTTCAAGTTAGATATTGAACACATGTGGTTTGTTTTGCACCCAGCTCTGCATTGGATCGAGTTTATAATGAAAAGCTGTCCATGACTCAAATGAGAGGCGTCCATAATTACACGCCACAGTGCAATCCTCATGCAATGAGCTTGCGGTTTGCCAGCGTTAAGACAATACATGCAGTTTTATGGGAGAGTTGAGGTTTAATTTTGTTCTCCTTTGATTCCATAAATGGTGGTGTTGACTTTGAAATAAGCCACCTAACTTTATTTATATATATGTGTGTATATATATATATCCTATTTTTCATTTCACCATGTGGTAGTATATTGGAATATTGCTAGGGCAGTTATATTTCATTGTACATTTTCATTGAACTATTGACTTAATAAATCTGTTTTGATCTTCTTTGGGGAATTATTGGGCAAGTTTTCTAATGCTAAGCATATTGACTTTTAGGAAGACGGGGAGGCAGAAAGCAAAATATAAAACACAAAAATAAGCATCCTTCTGCTTTTAAAAATGTGTTTGATAGGTTGTATTTGTCAGCGGAACAACTTTTAATTTAGTAACCTAATATGGGTATGCTCAGCTGAAGCAGGACTTGGAAGTTAGTTCCATAGCTTCAGGATGGGGAAGATTTTGCTGCTCTTCTTGTCTGTGACATACGGTACAAGGGTTGGCCCTGGTTTGGTCCACCTGCCAGCCGAGTTTAAAGTTTCCGAGGCTCAGAGGAACACAATGACTTGGATGAGGCAGCCTAAATGGGAAGGACACTGCTGCCGCAACCAGGGAGCCCTTAAACCCCGGCTAAACTAACATCTCTCTTTTTAAATGCGTCCATAACGCATTCTCTTTTTTTTTTTTTTTCTCTGACGATCCACTGAAGTCCGATCCTTGGAGACATATGGCTGGAAAATGAAACGACCCGGGAGTGTGGCCACATCGTTATGCCGTGTGGTGTAATACCAGATGGGCACTGTGAACGGCGCAGAGATGTGAATGGACAGTTTGAAATGGCAATTTCCCCCTCATCGAGCAGGTTCCATTGCCCTCTCCTGTCTCTTGGCATAACGAACTAGCTTTTGCCCTTCTCTGCAGTATCAATTACCTCAAATTGGAGGTGGAGTGACCAGAGAGGAAGGAATGAAGTGATCCGGCTAATCTTGCTAGCTGCGGAGCACCAGAACCTGGAACTGCGACCGAGTGCGGATCCGCCGACTGCGCCCGCGGCATGGAGCGCACGGACGCCCGCCGGGACCCAGGCCCGGCCCGGGGAGCCGGCTGCTGAGCTCCTGACTCCGCCAGGCCGCCGCCTCCTTGCGCCCTCTGCCTTTACTGTCAGCGTCGCCCACTCTCAGAGAGTCATGGACGACGGCCCGTTGCCAGACCTCAGAGACATCGAGCTGAAGCTGGGGCGCAAAGTGCCCGAGAGCCTAGCGCGCTCGCTGCGCGGGGAGGAGCCGGCGCCCCGAGAAGGGGCTGCGGACCCCAGCGGGGCTGGCGGGAGCTGCAGCAGCAGCAGTAGCTGCAGCAGCTTCGCGCCCTCTGTGTCCTCCTCCTCTTCATCCTCCCCTGCCTCTGGCTCTCCACGACGCAGCCACCCCAGCGCCCTGGAGAGGCTGGAGACCAAACTGCACGTCCTCAGGCAGGAGATGGTGAGTGCGATGCGTCAGCGGCGACCTGGGGACCGGGGGGCCTGAGACCCGGGAGGGTGGTGCGGGAGTCGAGGAGAGGCCGTGAGGAGGAGGAGGAGAGCGGGAACTCGCCTCTGGACTTGGCTGCAGCTTAGCTTGGACCCTGAGGACTTTGCTGGTTCACGGGGTACTCTTGCAGCTCAGTCGGCTCTATTTTATAGTAAGAGGCGCTCACTGCGCACCACTCTGCAGCTGCCAGCCGCAGATTCTCCTGCACCAGCCTGCCGAAGGCCCGCAGTTGCTGCGCCGGTCTGGGCCTGCTGCGAGCCGTTTATGCTTTGCCTTGGTTCAAAGGGTGGTTTAGTCCAAGGCACTTAACGCAGAAATGCCTCCCAGTTGTCCGGGAGGTGGCGCGGCGGGGTCCAAGCCTGCCTCGGTAGTTTGCTCTCCTCCACCCTCCCTTTAATGCAGCAGCTGCAGCTGTCCCAAAGCCACTGTAGAGTAGATTCTCCACAGCTGGTTCTGAAGACAATGGCTACTCGCCCTTGGTGTGCCTATGAATGGCTTGTTTCACTGTTTTGATCCCGGAGAGCAGGTGACCTGAGCCCGGGGATTTGCTAATGACCGCCTCCTACCCTTTCCTCTATTCCTCAATCAGCACTTGTTTTCTCTGCCGTTTATGTTAACCTCGGATTAGGACAATGGGTCAAGTAGATTTAAGACTCGTTATTCCGGATGTGCTTAGACTGAGGCATTCATTCATTGGCCTTGAGCTCTTCTTCGGCCAGTCTTAGCTTCTACAGATTTCATTCTTTACAGTGATGAGCTGGTTGGAGGAAATTATCTTTTTCTAAGCCTTCTGAAGAAAATGTGCACAAACCAATAGCAATTTCTGCCAACTTGCTGGGGAGGAAGGTTCCAAGAGCGGCCTTCAGTCCCCAGGGCGTGAGAAGGGCTTCCCACAGAAGTAGCCTATCTGATTGGGTTCATGTCTAAGCTTCCTTCCATTCTCACTTTCTGTGATTGGAAGACATTATTAATAAATTCCAAGCAAAGTGACAGTTTTCAGAGCTCATGACCTATCAAAACACTACGGAATATCTCTCCAAAGACCTTCACTAGGTCTCTAAACCTGGTCTGCTTAAGGTCTTCCTGTCTTAAATATTCACTTACCGGCCGGGCGTTGGTGGCGCACACCTTTAATCCCAGCACTCGGGAGGCAGAGGCAGGCGGATATCTGTGAGTTCGAGAACAGCCTGGACTACCAAGTGAGTTCCAGGACAGCCTCCAAAGCCACAGAGAAACCCTGTCTCGAAAGACCAAAAAAAAAAAAAAATCACTTACCAGCTGAGAATCTTCCCAATATTGAAATATATGTATATTTCTGCATGTAACTGAATATTTGTATATATATATATATATATCTTTACATTGTAGATTTTATTACTATTCATATTTCACTAAGTATATCTAAATACACATATACAAGTTATGCATATTAATCCCACCAAACACTTATTAAGGAGTTACCATATCATAGTAAGCAATGAACTCTGAAATATAAAATAAAAAAGTAAAGGAAGTGAGTAGACTCTAAGCACCCCAAACATGCAACGTCAGAGTCACTGCTGAAAACACTTTTCAGTCTAGGCAATGGTTCTCAACATGTGGCTCATGACCCCTTTGGGGATCACATATCAGATATTTACATTAAAATTCATAATGGTAGCAAAAATATAGTGATGAAGTAGCATCACAATAATTTTATGGTTGGGGTCATCACAACATGAAGAACTGTATTAAGGGTTGCAGCATTAGGAAGTTTGGGAAATACTGGGCCTTACAGGGTGTAAAGATTCTTGCCCCTGAACCTGACAACCAGGACTCACATGGAGAGTCAGCTCCTGAAAGCTGTGCTCTGACCAACACACAAACACCATGGAGTCACATGCACATGTATGTATACCCTCACAATCTAAATTCATAATTGTAGAAACAAATGTTTTTCAATGCATTTGTCTACTGAGGGCTTTCAAATCTCTTCCACTTATTTGCCCTTTATTCGTTGTGCTGAATTCTGTAGGACAATGAAAACTGGTCATTTTCAACTGAGAATATCTAACAGACATCTATTTTTCCTAATGGAAAATTCCACGTTGATAAAAATCTTTTCTTTCAACTATATCTTGCTATTTATTTTGACCACCATGTATCAATTTTTAAAAAAAAAAGATTTATTTTTGTTATGTGTATGAATGCTCAGCTTGTTCATACCTGGCATTCTCGAAGACCATAATGTGTGTTTGATGCTCCAGAAGTGGAATAACAGACAGTTGTGAGCCACCTTATGGGTACTGGGAACGGAACACGGGTCCTCTGAAAGAACAAGTGCTTTTAACTGCTGAGCCATTTATCCAGCACTCTGCTATTAACTTTTGAAAAGGCAAGGACAACAACAACAAATTGATGAAACTTTTTTTTTGTATTTTCTCTGTGATGTCTCAATGTCTGCAGACTGAGAAAAATTTATGTCAGAATAGATGCTTTGTGATAAACTGTGTTCTAATAAAGGACACCATTGAATAAATCTTTCAAACACTGGTCTCATAAATTCAGAAGGTAGTGGAGGTATATTTCTTTGTCAAGAAGGGCATCATTTTCCTCTATGTCTATGTTATTCTTGTGGGTATTCAAAACCCTTGCTTAGGCATAATTGCAAAGTGACTAACTTGTCTCATTGTATTGGTGGTGGTTTTGCTGCAAAGATGGGATGGATACAGTTCCTTCTGTCTTCTAGCATCCCAAAGTAGAGGATGTAGGCAGCTAGCATGGGTTCAACCTTCCTGTCCTATGGCCTAGCACTGAATCAACCTCTTTAGGAATATGCTCAATCCTACTCCTTATTTTGAGTTGTTCATAGATTCGATGGTCTAGAATCAGTTTGTTTTTGTTTGTTTGTTTGTTTTTGTTTTGATTGTCTTCACCATCCCTTCCTCAAAAACACTCTAGCTATGCAAAAGTCTTTCTTGGTGTCTCCCAGATTAGGCATTTCTTCTTTTCCTAATAGAACGGATGAGTGCCCTCAAGGTCACAGCGCAGCAGACACTGAGGTTTTTATATACATACGATCCCACCGTTATCTCTGTTCTCTTCTTTAGCACTTTTCCCCCTGACATGTTTGCATGTGTCTGGATATGTGTCTGTGAGTGCAAGTGTAGGTTGACATCATATGTCTTCCTCCATTGGTTTCCACCTTACACATGGAGGTAGTGCTCACCCATTTGGCTAGTCTAGCTAGCCAACTTGTTCACTGGGTTATATGAATGCATCTGGCATTTGTGTGGATTCCAGGGATCCAGACATTGGTCCTTATGCTTGTGCAGCAAGCCTGTTTCCCACTGAACACCTGTGAACCATCTCTTCATCTCTGTCATCTTCTTTCATGCTTCCATGGATAACGTCTTCTATTATTGTCTATAAATGTTGTGGCTCTTAGAGATCAGGGAGGTAGTTTGTGAAGCAGAAAAGTGAGTAAAGAGGCTGAAGAGGAGACAGCTGTTTCTGTCCAAACTGCTTAAAGTTGAAACCCTTCTTATTTTTTTTTGTTCCTAATTTATTTTTTATTTATTTATTTTTATTTTATTTTCCAGTTTAAATTTAGATAAGAAACAAGGTTGCTTCACAAGTCAGTTCCAGGTCCCTCTCCCTTTCCCTCCCCTCCTCCCATGCCCCCCCCCCCGTTATCCCCTCACTCCCCCAGGGAGGGTGAGGCCCTCCATGGGGGTGTCCATAGTCTGTCATTTCATATAGGGCAGGGCCTAGACCCTTCCCCAAGAGTTCAGGGTGAGAGTGCACCTCACATTGTTGGATGGGAGTCCAAAGTCCGTGTGTATACTTGGGATGGGTACTGATCTGCTGCCCAAGGCTCAATAGATTCCCTAGGCCTCTTCACTGACACCCAGATTCAGGGGGTCTTGATCAGTCCCATGCTGGCTTCCCAAGCTAATGCCTGGGATTCAAGAGTTAACCTTTGTCTGGTCAGCTGTTTCTGGGGGTTAAACCAGCCCAGTCTTAATCTCTTTGATCATCAGTCCTCCCTCTCTGTTACTGGCTTTCTTGAGTTCAGCTCAGTACTTAACCAAGGGAGTCTGCCTCTTCTTCGATCAGCCACTAAATGAAGTTTCTGTTTCCCAGACTCTCTGGCCATAGGATTGTAGGCTGGCACTCCCCAGGTCTATGTCTAAAATCCATATATGAGAGAGTACATGCCATGTTTCTCTTTTTGTGACTGAGTTACCTCACTCAGGAAGGTTTCTTCTAGTGTCATCCATTTGCCTGTGAATCTCATGATTCCATTGTTTTTTTCTGCTGAATAGTACTCCATTGTGTAGATGTACCACATTTTCTCTATCCACTCTTCGGTTGAGGGACATCTAGGTTGCTTCCAAGTTCTGGCTATTACAAATAAAGCTGCTATGAACATAGTGGAACAGACATCTTTGTTGTATGAATGGGCATCTTTTGGATATATGCCTAAGAGTGGAGTTGCTGGGTCTTGTGGTAGGTTTATTCCCATTTTTCTGAGGAATCTCCATACTGATTTCCAAAGTGGCTGAACCAGTTGGCACTCCCACCAGCAATGGAGGAGTGTCCCCCTTTCACCACATCCTCTCCAGCATAAATTGTCATTGGTTGAAACCCTTCTTAATAGCACAAATAGTGCCACATGTAAGGGAAATATTGGTAAAATTGGTTGCAAGCATAATTGGATACAATAGGCCAATCCTAAGTAATTTTTTTTGGGGGGGACAAAGGTGAACAGCTGTAATTTTGAAGTTAGAGATTAGGAAATTTGACAACAAGAAAGAAATGTAGGATCTCACGTGAAATTTATTGTGAAACTGGAGGTAGATACTCGGCCTTTGATACAAAATCTGCCCAATAAGTTTGTGCATGGTTAGCTCCTTAGGCTCATAGTTTGCAGATTTCGAAATCAGTGAGCATAAAAATTTGAAGGCAGT